TTTTTTTGCAGGGGAGCTTAAGGATGTATTGAAGTTTGATGAATTTCCGAAAAGTTTTAGAAAAAATGCAGGAAAATGATTGCACGATCATGAAATTTCGTAAGTCATTAAGTAATGATAAAATGCAAAACGGTATATTTTTTCACGTCAATCCGATCAATAATTTACCAGAAAAATTAAAAAAACTTGAATTTTGGCGAAAAGGGTGTAATACATCCTTAAGGAAAATACCCGATTAATTTTGAAACTCGAGGGGTATTTATCGGATTATTTTTCCCAATCGGATTTTGGCCAATCAGAGGGCAGTGGACAACATCAGGAGGTGAATTAGGGGAAATTTGAACAAATTGTCATAATTGAATAATCCGATTTCCGTACACTGTCAAATACAAGATTCGATCTGAAATGAGCCGAAAAAATGAAGAGCTATTGCAAAACATTCAAAAGCTAGGAGGACATATCCAAAATAAAACTGTTCAGGTGCTCTAAAATAGTGCGTTCTGATTGGTCGAAATCCGATTGAGAAAAATAATCAGAGAAATACATAGAATGTTCGAAGCTCATCGCAGTGAGAGAAAAATATAATTCCTCTGACTATATTCCATCACCATCGAATTATAGTCAAAAAGTCCTCAACAATTTTTCATGGGTTACGGTAACTATGGCCGGAGAAGTAATTACTACAATGGAATGTAGTCAATGCAACTATATTATAGTTCTCACGATAGATTTGTCGTGGTTACTTTTGAACTTTAGTTAGTTTAACTGCATTTTGATTTGCAAAAATTACGCTTGTGAAGTTACTATAATGTTATGTGCCGCATACAAAAAAAATCGTATCGTTCACCAAAATGCCTCAACTATTTTCTTATTGTAAATCGAACGTTAGATTTTTCTCTCAGTGCGATGTTGTGTTGCGAGAAGTAACGTCTTTGAAATTTCCTCTGAGTGTATCAAATTTGCAACGAAATATGAAATTTCTTTATGCTGACTACAATTTGTTGTGCATGTCATCCACATGGATATAAATTTTTAATTCAATATATTGCATCGTGTGGCACAAAGACTGTGTCGAAAATCATTGTGTTAAAGCACTAAGTGCAAAAAATGATTTCAGGGATTTAGAAAATTCTTGCCATACACTTTTTCTCGATAGTTGGCTCGCGGGCTTGGAAGATTGAACAAAATTGTAAGATTGTTCAGACAATACTTTTAAAAATTTTCGATTCATATCTCGGATTCAATTATCCACAATCACATTTTCACACGGTGAAAAAAGTTGTAGTCACAAGTCAAGTAATCCTGGAGCAATCTCGATTTTCAGTACTTTTTTGTCTTATATATGGGAAAAAGTGCGAGATTAATAGTGAATAATTTCTTTGTGAGATACATGTCCTTGAATCAAATAAAACAGTCCTTGCCGTGAAGTCACATGTATTCATTACAAAAATTGAAAAGTTCTATTTTTTTAACCTAATATAATCTCCAGTCGAGAAATTTTCTGCTTTCATGAATTGATCAAAAATTCGTACCTCGGAGACGATTACATTGAGGAATGAATTTAATGTTGTTTTCTCGAGTGAAGCCGAGATTTAAATTGAGCTTTCCTTACATCACATTGAACGAACTTTGTGATATCCAAATTTGTGCTGAATTTCCGTAATCTGTAATTCTGTTATAGTAAACTAATGCGATTTTTTTAGTCACCACTGATAGAATGATTCATTTATTCCAAACGAGATTCGTTAACTATTCATGAATGGTTCACTTGAAAGGTGAAAGTCGAGTCAAACAAGACTTCTCAAATATGCATTCGTTTACTATTAACGAATGAACATTTGGTGAGACCAAATAGACCCTAGCCTTCAACCAAATCATTTGTTAACAATAACTAATTCTGATCATCAGTGAAGAAATATAAACTTCTTTCAATTCAACGACATCTTACAACAATCTCAAAGCTTTTTCCGTATAACAATATTCATACTGATTCGACATACGAAATGCTCACTTCAATTATAATGTACTTGGAACAACGTATGATCGTGTTGATTGAGATAACGATGTATTTAGTCATGAGAGTAATTTTGATTTTTGAGTAAACCAACGAATTTTTGGAGTTGTCAAACTGTTGGCTATAAAGAAATCCAATACTCTTATTATTGCGATAAATAAAAGGAACTTCAACTCTAGAGAAATTCGATTCCTCCGAGGATTCCTCCCAATCAAATGTATCTCAAGAAGATATAACTGGTATTCACTACGAAATCGTGTTTATTTGAAAATCAACAACCAAATGAAGTTTGGTTCAAATAAAATTCTCTTGAGAAAATTTTTTTTTTCTGGCAATGGGAAATTTTACTAAACAAGAGGATAATTTTTGCATCCACAGATGTGTTTATTTACCAAGAAAATCGTAAGATATTCTATAAAAACCAGTATTTTTTCACTGGATTATATTTCGATCCACGATTACCTTTCCCATAGTAAAATTTGTCACGATTTTCTAACTAATTTTTATCCAACTTTTCTCTCCGTGCACTGAAATTTCAAAAAATCTAAATATCGAAAAATAAAAATTGCATTCATTCATTCATTCGTTTGATTTATTGAGAGCATAAAGAGTAGCATAGTGTATGTAGCACCGTACTCATATTCAACATTTTATAGTCTCAATATAAAACAAAACAAAAACCGGAAAGCGATATTTCAGAGTTGGTATTGTATAGTTATCTCTATCTATCCCCTCAATACGATGAGAAATCAATGACAACCGTAAATTTCAGTTCCATTATTCAGTGAAAATCAGTGGCAATGGGAGAATTCAGGTGCATGTATTCTTGAATTTTAAATCAACTGAAAATTTTGCGCCATTTTATGCTAAATATTCATGTTCAATTGAAAATTCAAGTATATTTTGAAATCTCCGTGTTATTTCTGCTTGAAATTTATTAAATCATTTGAATTTTCATTTGAAATTCAAACTTCATGTATCTTTTTCTCCTAAATTGAATTCAATATCACACTTTTGAAAATTACGACTACACTGATGAGAGAAAATATTAGTTCTACTGAACAATTATATATTCCCCTGAGAAGATTTTTTGTCGTATTGAATCAATTTAATTGTGGACAAAAAAGGCAAGATTCGATAACTTCGAGTGGAGAATTTTCGACATATGAGGATAGAAGAACTCAATAACATATGAGAATGCAATAAATTAAGTCATTTAGAATTTTTTCCGGGAATCCATAGGGACTAATTTTTGGGTGCTATTGTCTTGAGATATACCTTAATTCGACATTTTTTTAGTTCCATGTGATGAAGTTTAGAAATTATCAGAGACGATAACCGCACGGAATTCAACAGCTGGGTCCATAAAATTACCATCACTAATGGATTAACACCGGTGTGGTAAGCGGCGTGATGAGGCCACAGGGTGATTCCATGATGTATGAGTCGCTGTGTACTTTACTGTAAATCCGCCGATTTGTATCTAAACCGCAATTAATTATTCCCAGCATCGTCGACGCCCCGCGAGAATTCATAAATATTAAACGGGCTACCACCAGCCTCAAGGCGAGAGCGTAATAGTTGGCGTATACACTTTGAGTTACATCTTGTTTTGCGTTAGATAAGGCGACTGCAGACACCTAAGTGCATCTCAATCGGTGGAAAGATTCGGAACTTCAGATTCATCGATTGATTTCAAATATCTGGTTCAAACGAAGAGCAATTCTTTTAAAAAATCTAGCGCTACACGGAGAGAATGCAAAATTAAAAATTATTATGTGAACATAGTAATCGAGGACATACCGAAAAAATGTTTAAATTTGATTTATTTTGACCGAACGTTTGCGATGTGAAATTTTTTTTACGATTTAACATGGTAATTTTTAACGGACAAAACAGTATAAAATGCACGGGTGAAGAAATAATTTTCAAAAATATTAAAAACACAATTTGCAATTTTGGCTATTGGACGATGAGAAATTACTCAAATCATATGAATTTTACCATGTTAAATTGCAATTTTTTCTTACGATTTAAAAATTTAGTTTATGCTCTCGCACTTCCTACATAGTGCCCGAGGAAATAGTGAAAATTACTATGTTAAATCATAGTAATCATTTATCATTGCACAATTAAATTAAATGTACAATTTCTACTGATTTTTTTCGGAAAATTCAGAACTTATTTTCCATGAAATAAATTTTATAATGAAAAGATTCCTCGAAATTTCAGTGGAACTGTTACCGGACGAAAATATCCAAAAAGTATGCCGAAAAGTCGAGAATCTAGAGTTAATTAAGGAAACATCTGCATTGTGACACTAAAATATATTTCGTCCACGGAAAGAAATTCTCCAGAAAAGTTCTAGTGCTAGCACGGGAAAAAGGCCGCAAAGTAACGGCCAGGATTGATTTCAGTACCGGCACTGGAAATTTTATTGAGTAGCACAGCAAGTTTTCCCGTTCTTATATTATATTGCCACAGAATGGAATTAAATGTCCATAGAAATCCCCGGAAATTTGATCAGAAACCCCGAAATTTCTATAGAAATTTTATCTTAACCGCACGACAATTTTTCACAGTCGGTGGATTCGGATTTTTTCCAGTACCAGCACTAGAATTTTTTTGAAGATTTTCTCTCCGTGACATAATGAAGACTTTGCAATCACCCATAAATTACAAATTTCACATTTTGTTGTGAATCCCAACATTTTCTGAAAAACTTTCTAAAACTGGCAATCCGCTGAGAATAAAGAAAAGTTTTAGTTTTTAGGGAACTATAACTTATCTTCAATTAATTTCATTCAGTTTGAGAGATTTTCCCACAATTCCAGGGGAAAAATCCCTCATCCCAAGGCATTTTCAAATCAGTGAATCGATTTTCAAGTATCACTGAAAGTAAATTATAGTTCCCTGAAAACTAAATTTTGTTTTTTCAGTCTTAATTAACCTATACGTAACTAATTTCGGTATTTTTATGTTTCAGAGATCTTAGTAACAACAACATTACCTACATTCCACCTAAGGCTTTTCAACATGTACCAAATATTGAAATTATGTAAGTTGATTTTTCTCTGGAAGCGAATGTTGAGATTTTGCAATTCAATAGCAAAGTGGTAGAGCGAGATAAGTCAGTTTGTATTAAGGATGAGTTTTCCATAAATATTTTCGTAAAAATGAGAAAAGTATTCATCAAAATTTCACCATCATGGATAAATAGATTCAATGGACAATCCAGGTGGCAATAAAGTTCTCACCAATTTATATTGGAAAAAATTTTACTACCTTTCCGGGAATTTTTCTTAATAGAAAGATACTGCAAATTGAAATTGGTACACAAACCGGAAAAATGATGTCGAGAAATTTGTGTAGACAGAATCTAGATAGAATGATTTGCATCTGAATAATAAAAATTGCAGGCGGCTGTATCTTCGATACAGCTGTAATTGTACGTGGATACCTCCATGGACTTTCCTTCGTTCTCGAATATCTTAGAAACTCCTTGCATTCCCTCGAATTTTCTAGAAACTCCCCGAATTTCCTCGCAATTTCTAGAATTTTCTGGAATTCTGATAGATAGCCCTGCAAATAAGGACCGTTTCCCAAAATGACCCCCCATATTGAAACCGTAGACATATTCACGTCAAAATCTATTGAACACTTTTATATCAAATTTTCCTATTGATAAAGATGAATGAGCATAAAATTACATGAAGCGAATGCGCTACGATTGAATTTTGCAAAAACTAATTTTCAACTGAAACTGATTTATCTCCTTTTACTACTCATTTCTGAATTATGTTTTCTTTCATGTACATTTTTAACAATTCTAGTTTTTTTCGAAGAAACCACATGGACAGCATTGACAGTAGTGCATTTAGGAATTTATCGAATCTACGTGTTTTGTAAGTTGATTGTAATAATTTTTTATGGAGTTCTAGTAATACCTGCATTTAGGAATTAATTATGAAATTGACAGTGATTTTTTTCATATTTTGTCTTATTGATGGCGAAAAAAATCAACGAAAAACCAACCGACCATAATGGTTGGGTGCACGGAGAGAAATATTCAGTAAAAATTACGGAATAATTGACGTAATTCGCAATGGGGAATAGTTTTCCGGCAATTTTTATAGGAATGAAAGTAATCACGGAATTTTTCCCGAAGAAGTAAAATCTTACAGAAACTTCCCGACTCATTATGCTTTCAAAATACAAAATTCTTAAATGTTCAACAATTTTCATGAAGCTGATGAGTTATTTCTACGTTCCGTTCTGTAAAATTTCTCAATGGTTGGGGAAAAATTGCGGAACATCTTGTTGTCCCCACAACGATGAGTCATCAGACGGGGGGTTAATTTTTACGGAAGAAATCGTAGAATTTACGTGGCGATTCGTGCAATTTCAGTTCCGACCCACAATTTTATTGAATTTCGCTTATTTATTTACTTCTATTTTACTTCATGTTTATTTGCGAAAGAGCTACAATACCTTTATTAAAAAGGGGGGAAACGCAAAAAGCAGTATATCATATTACATAATACTCATATAAAACAAATATACCCATATTTACAAAACAATTCCAACCTAAGAAGATAGAGCACATCATAGCATTATACTGTATGGTGGTTTACACCTTCTTCACATTGTAAATCAATTTTTCGTTGATTTTTTTCTCCACGTTGAAATTCAAGAATCTTTTGATTAAAATGAGATAATTTCCGGGTTGATCCAGGGAGCTGGATGACAATTATCTCACAGAGATACCCGAGGCTACAGCATACATCGAAAAACTCGAAGATTTGTAAGTGAATCCCATCCCACTCCCCATACCCAACGGAAAAAAACTACATGATAACTTCTAAACTTTCAGATCGATATCAAACAACAAAATCCAGACAATTGGGGCCAATGCATTCAGGAGTAACAAGAATCTCGTGTCCCTCGACCTGCGTGGCAATCCCATCAAGAAAATTCATGAGGATACATTCAAAAACCATTCACGACTGCGTAAACTGTAAGTCATACTCCGGTCTGTACTTACCGAGCTCGTAAATACATCACATCAAAGTGCACCACTCTAAAATCAATGTTTTTAGAATAATCTCGAATGTACGAGGTCTCGTTGACTTTCCAAATCTCAATGGAACGGGTGCACTTGAAGTTTTGAGACTTGATCGTGCGTCTCTCCAAACAGTGCCCGATGAAATATGTAAACAATGCCCGAGGCTGAAGAGTCTGTAAGCATAATAAATCTTCTATTGAAAATAAAGCCAATTCTATAATCGATTGAAATAAAAATTTAATTACATAATTTTAGGGATTTGAAGTCAAATTACCTGACGAGTATTCCAAATTTAACTGAGTGCACAGACTTGAGGGTTTTGTGAGTATTAATGGATCAATTAAAACCCTAAATTACTGGGGAGAATCCAATTCCGTTAATATCATCAGCATTACAAACTAATCATTACCAGAAGTTGAAACGAGATAAGGCAATCACAAAAATAGAAATTTATGGCCCGGTTGCACCAAGCCCAGTTGAAAAAATCCCCAATTAAATATCGAAGTAAATAAAAATAATCTACCCATCAATTTTGATTGGAAGTTTATTGAAGGTATTTCACCGAAAAAACGTGGTTTTGTCAATGTATCATCATTATTTGCCAATAATACCACTAATTGTGAAGTATTTAGTCAGTATGGACGAGCGAATGGCTGAATGAAAGCATTCTCCGATGAATTCCTAAAATTATCTAACTGTGGACTAAATTTACTCCAAATATAAATTTACTCTGACGATTCAAATAAATCGGCTATTAACAGGGCTTGGTGCAACCGCCCAATAACATTGTATAATTTATTTCGTTGGCAATGAAAATTTCCGAGCATGAAAATCTTGTCATTTGCGTTTTTGTTGACCGTATATTGGATGGAAGAAGAAAGTTTAATAAGAATATTTAGTGGAAACAAAATGAGTTACGAAAATGATCCAATTGTTTATGAAACTTCTGATTCATTTTGCAAATTCAAGAAAATTTAATTTTCTCCATGTTAAGTGGACGTAAATATTTTATGGCGGCTCGAGCGTAGCTTTATATGCTAAAAAAAGTTGGTGGTTTTTTGAAACAAATAGATAAGAGATCTGTGCTGAAAAATTACATGAATTATAATGCAAATATGCGAGCTGGCCAGTAATATTAATATTAATTTAGTAATATTTAAAGAAGTTCATCTTAAATTAATTAAAATTCACTGATTTTTATTAAAATTTAAAAATAATTTTTCATTCTCAATTATTATTAAACGAATAATTATAAATTTCTGAATTTGATTTGTCTCAAATAATCGTCATTCTTGCGAAGTGGATTGCTGGTTTATAGAATATTAAAAAATTTGAACAATCTGATTTGCGATTTATGATTAATTTAATAAAAATTAAAAAATTGTACAATATAGTTAGCTAATTTTATATGTAATGCAAATAATTTAAATTCTGCATTATAATTTTGCCTATCTCTGGAACTGGCTTGACAGCTAAGCCCCGCCATTGGAAGACAAATTCATAGCGATTTGACTGTCAAACCAACTCGCAAGTTTGCATTATCCAAAAGATAAAAGACATGATCCAATTCAGCCGCAGCTGGATTAAATAGGGTACATTTCTAGCTAAGAATCATATTTTTGGGTTCAGTCAAAAAGGCGTTGGGATGTCTCAAAACTCCCCGCTTTTCTCAATATATATATATATATATATATATATATATATATATATATATATATATATATATATATATATCTCTCTTATACACAT